CAAGAGGGAGATGGAGTGTGTGAGATGGGCGGGGAGGGAGGATAGGCAAGAGACACTCCAGACCAGACCTTGGGGACAGAACTTGGAGAAAGTTCCGCAGCCCAGGGAGATGGCTGTTTTGGAACTGCCTGTACTGTCTCTGGCTGGGCCAGTCCCGAGGATACCACCCCATTGCTCCATGTCTGATCCCCCATAGGCCTTTGGGGTACCTGTCTGGAGCTTGTGACAGCCCCTAAGGCTGAACAGAGTGTACCAGCCCTGCCCCATTAATGTGGGATCAGCCTCCTCCTCCACAGCTGGGCTCCAAGGGCCAATCAGAAGAGTGTTTGCTCTGCCATTGTTCACAGAAAAGGAAACCTACCTCTTGAAGGTGCTTCTCCATGACTGTTCAGGGAGGGGCAAGGAAGAAGAAGGTCGGGCTTTCTGGAAGGAGCCCTATTCTCCTGATGCCACCCCCTGGCTCTGCTCAGCTCCAGACTGGGATTTCTTTCTGACTTTTGTGAACCCTTTCTGCCCATTTTGACTCACACACTCACACACTCACATACACACACACACACACACACACACCGCTCAACAGGGCCTGGACCAGTAGTGTGGGGTCCTCAACTCAAAGAAGGAGGGGACCCCTCAGTCTCCCTTGGGCTTCTTCCCTGGGCCCCCTTAACTACACAGGCACCAAGTTCAGGCACTTCCATTAGGGGGTGACGTGGTCCAGGGCCCTGCCCCAACCTGGGCCAGCACATCTCCCTCATCAAGTCTGGCTCCCCTCCAGCCTTGGTGCTCAGCCCACTCTGTGAATAGACCTTCACTGTTGGTCTGGCTGCCCCGCCATTGCTATCAGGGAGTTCAGACATATGAGACCCAGACAAGTGGGATTAAATAGTATTATTCTCCATGCCACCAGGAACACAGCTTTGTTTCGTGCTCTTGGGTCAGAACAGCCTCCAACAATTGCTGATGTTTTTGCGTGCATGTGTGGTTGCGCGCGCGTGTATGCGTGTGTGTGTGTTAAAATACACATAAAATCCCACCACAGTTGAGGAGATTAGAAGTCGGACTTCAGAGCTCCAGCTTGGGAGAAAAACTCTTGCCTCCTTTCAGCATTGGCTGGACTAGTCCTTGGACGTCTCCTGGAGTTCTGGCATCAACCCTTCCCCCAGATCTGGCAGTTTCACAGGGCAGGACCCCAGGTCCTGCCCAGGTCCAAAGGATGCATTCTACTCCTGGCTTTTCTTTTTTGGTGGTAGTGGGTCCCTCTTTCTTTGCTAACTTCTCTCTCTGCTTTTATATCGGAAAAGAGGTGGACTCAAATAAAACCTAATCCTGTCTATTGCATCGGCCCCATTAACATCACTGTTGTTGTTGCTAAGTGTTGTCGAGTTGGTTCCGACTCATCGCGACCCTGTATAGGGTTTCCAAGGAGCTGCTGGTGAGTTTGAACCACCGACCTTGTGTTTCCCAATCCAGTGTTGATGCTACAGTGCCACACCAGGATTTCTCATTAACATTACAGAAGTGAAGATTTATAATCCCCTAGATAATAACATCAGATCTGTGATGATCACAGCTTGGTCATTACATGATAGATTTCATCATTGGGGATTATTGCACCTTAACTGGTGTGGTGCTGTATGAAAAGTGCTGGACCACAAGGTGAGTTTGAACTGCAAGGGCAGTGGTTCAAATACACCAGCTGCTCCTTGGAAACCCTATACAGGGTCGCTATGGGTCCGAACTAGACACTACTGCACGTAACAATAACAAATGGGTCATGTGACTTCCTAGTGCGGCACTGGATTGCTAACTGAAAGGTCAGTAGTTGAAACCTACCAGTTGCTCCTTGAAAACCCTATACAGGATTGCTATGAGGTTGGAACCAACTCCATGGCGCTCACTAAATAATAACAACAGTGGGTCATGTGGTAATTCTGTCCCCATGTGGCATTATAGGATAAGTACTGGACTGCTAATCACAAAAGTCGGAGGTTCAAACCCATCAGTCACTCTTCAAAACAGGGCCTCTGTGAGTGGGAACTGACTTAATGGCATTTAACAGCAACAATAACATGTTGTTGTTGTTGTTAAGTGCCGTCGAGTCGGTTCCGACCCATAGCGACCCTGTACAGGGTTTCCGAGGGTGTAAATCCTTACGGGAGTAGAAAGCCTCATCTTTCTCCCGCGGAGCGGCTGGTATTTTTGAACCGCTGACCTTAAGGTTCGCAGCCCGATTCGTAACCACTACGCTACCAGAGCTCCTGAACAATAACATAGGAATTCTAATTTTTATTTTCTGAATGTTCCATGGTGGTAGCACCATTTTACATTCCCATCAGCAGTGTTGGAGGGTTTCAAGTTCTTGACACTGCTTCTTTTAAAAATAGAGGGTGGTTCTCCATCTAAAGCCCAGATGGACTTCTAAAACAATGTTACTGTCTTGTCAGTACTTGTAGCGTTATCCTCTATTTATAAGGAATGAGGTAGATTTTCCACATGGTGGGAAACGTGGTGAAACAAGGTCTCATTTCATTTAGAGAAAAAGGAAGAGTCAACAGCGGCTATCACAAGAATCCAATGTGACAAACGGCTGATGTCTTAAAAAAGCAACATACAGGCCGGGTGTGTGGATGTCTCTGTACACTACCCGATTGTGGGAACCAGTGTGATCCCAGCATAGGAAAGAGCGAGACTTCTAGACCTTCTAGAACCTAAATGTCCGCCCTAACAGAGAGTCCACACACCCCACGGTGTTTCCACGGGAGAAAGGTCCGGTGTGGCCCAAGTGGGAGAGGCTGCGTTCGCAGTGGGATGGCGAGGGTCCAGGGGGCGCCCTCTGCGGGGCGAGAGTGCGGTTCCGGGTGTGGAATCTGGCGCGCGGCAGCGTGATGAGGGGGGCCTTCTGCGGACTGAGCATACGAGGAGGCCGTCGAGGACCTCTCCGTGCAGATGCGGAGCGCAGGGCCCCAGAGCTCCCGGGTTGCGAGCCGGATAGGTGTTCCAATCCGGGAAGAAGGCGCGGGACCCCGGAGGAGGCTGGCCGGCTCAGGGCGCCCTCTGTGGGGCAGGGTTCAGCCCCTTCGGGAGGCGGGAGCTTCAGCTCCGCCAGCGCAATGACTCAGCATTCGGGCGGGCTGGGGCGGAGCGACCCTTATAAGGCTCGGAGGCCACGGGGACCTGAGGCCGGAGCTCTGTTGTCGCCGCCGCCTGCACCGCCATCAGTTCAGCAGTGAGTCTGCGCGCGGACTGGGCCACTGGCTCGGCGCGTGCCCAGCTTGGGAACCGGACCCCCGGGAATCTGGAAAGCTTGCAGTATCTGCCGGGGCTCCCAGGGGGCTGGCTTTCCCAGCATCGAGTCGGGAGTCTCCGGAAGGCCCAGGACTCCCCCCAGCTCCAGGAAGGGGATCTTAGGGGCCCATAACGGCTCCAGCGTGGGATTGGGGTTCCTAGGGTCCCCTGGCGCCCCCAGCGCGAGAGACTAACTCCTGTGGAGCCCTGAGCACTCTGGGCTGGGAATGGGATCCCTGGGGAGGGCAGGCAGTGCACCCCCAACAACCTTCTCCCAGGCTCTGACAGACTTTTCTTTGTGTCCCTTAGTGCCACCCTACACCATTGTCTACTTTCCCGTTCGAGGTAGGGACCTATGGCTGGGAAACAGGCGTGGCAGAGGTTGGGGGACTGCAGCCCAGGGACCCTTCACCACCTGGGGGAGACTCCAGGCCCCTTTATCCCTCCCTCTGGTTCAGAGCCCACCGAGCCTCCTTCCCCAGGCCCTGTCCAGAGGCTCCCAAAGGCTGGAGTGTCCAACCCCATCCCAGGCACGCCCCCTCCCTGTGTGCTGTGAGATGGTGCCCCACCCCACACCCCTTGTGCTCCAGGGCGCTGCGAGGCCATGCGCATGTTGCTGGCTGACCAGGGCCAGAGCTGGAAGGAGGAGGTGGTGACCAAGGAGACCTGGATGCAGGGCCAGCTCAAGGCCTCCTGTGTGAGTGTCCAAGGGGGACAGGGGACAGGGATGGGCCTGGGGAGCTGCCATTGGCTGCAGCTGCATTGAGTGCCCCTTACCAAGCTATTGTCCCCCCCAGCTGTATGGGCAGCTCCCTAAGTTCCAGGACGGAGACCTCACTCTGTACCAGTCCAATGCCATCCTGCGGCACCTGGGCCGCTCCCTCGGTGAGTCCAGGAACCTAGCCCATGGTAGGGGTTAGTGTGGCATCCTCTGTTCCCGAACCCCTCCCATGGCTAGCCATCGGACTCTGGTCAAGCATACGTATGTTTGTATATGCATGCACCTCATTTTGCAGTTGTGGACACGAGGCCCACTGAAATTGAGGAACTGGCCCCCAGGTCAAGCCCAACCTGTAGTCCCCACTGTGTATCCCAGTCACCCATTCCTCTTTCCCTTTTCCCATCATGTATCCACCTCCCCTCCCCTCCTCCCACTGAGCTTGGAGCCTGCCACATGCTTGTGAGTGGGTCAGTCACGGGTTGTGTGTTGGCCAGGTGCCCAGTCACACTGCCCCCTCCTGCTCCCCAGGGCTCTATGGGAAGGACCCTCAGGAGGCAGCCCTGGTGGACATGGTGAATGATGGCGTAGAGGACCTGCGCTGCAAATACATCACCCTCATCTATACCAACTACGTGAGTGCAGGCCTCTGGTGGGCACTGCGAATAAACCAAGAAAGGGGCTTCCTGGAGTGTCTTGGGCAGGATGCCTGGGCTGGTTAGACTCTGTGCTAGAGATCATGTGATGGACAAGACAGACTTCAGCCTCACTGCCTGAGGGCAGACCACAGACAAGTAGCAGTACAAGGATAAGAGACATGGGCTTCAGTGGGGAAGGCCAGGAGGGCTTCTTGGAGGAGGAGTATCTATAGGCAGCTTCTGGAAAGAGGGCACTCTCAGCTGCAAGCATATTTGGGGGCCTGGGACCAGTTTAGCAGAGGCAGAGCATGTATGTGCTCGTGTACAAGTACCTGTGTGGACCTGTGTTTAAGTGTGAATGCATGAGCATGTGTGTATGGAGGTGTTCACGAACATGTGAGCTCATGTATGTATGAGGTGCACACAAATGTTTACGTGTGTGAGCAATGTATGTGTTCTCTAGCATGTGTTTATCATACGCTTGTGTGCATACATATATGTTCTCAGATGTGTTAGTATATGCATGCGTGCACAAGGCATACACATATGTGAGTACAGTCAAACATGTGCACGTGTGTATTTGAATATGTGTGCTTGATTGTGTAAATGTATGCTCTGTGTGTGCACACACGTGTCCCTGAACATGTGTGTGTGTATGTGAATATATGTTTGAGCATGAGTGTATGTGTGCTTGGACATGTGCTTGAGTCTATGTGTGTGGCCAGTGTATTCTGGCATGTGTGTGCTGATGTGTTTGTGTGTGTACATGTATATGAGAGATGGAGGGTCTGGAGCTGGGACCACAGGAAAGCCTGAACCAAGCAACAGGGTTGGCCCTGCTCCAGGACAGTAAGCAGGACATTGCCCAAGTGTGAGGTCCAGAAGGATGCTGGGAGGAGCCAGCTCAAAGGCTTTGCAGTCAACCGAGAAGGCAGGAGTGAGGCAGAGAGAGTTCAACATCTGCATGGGCAGTTGTGGACAGTGGTCTGGGAGTGGGAGTGAGCACAGAGCACTGGGGCTCCCTGCCCCCAGCCTGGGGGTGGTGTTAGTCATGTGGGACAAACAGAAGGGGGCGCCTGAGGGCTGAGCCAGACTGGGGTGGCCAGTCACATGAAGCGGATGGTACACAGTGGACTCTTTGGGGCAGGAGGCAGGCAAGGATGACTATGTGAAGGCACTGTCCAACCACCTGAAGCCCTTTGAGACCCTGCTGTCCAAAAACAAGGGGGGCCAAGCCTTCATCGTGGGTGACCAGGTGAGCATGGGCTCTGCCCACCCCACTCCGCTTCTGTGCCACCTTCTCTGAGGGGACCGAGAGCTTGTGAGCCAGCCAAGCAGCTGCTCCCACCTGCTGAAGCCCCCTTGCCCTCTGCCTATAGATCTCCTTTGTCGATTACAACCTGCTGGATCTACTGCTGAACCACCAAGTGCTGGCCCCCAGCTGCCTGGACGCCTTCCCCCTGCTCTCGGCTTATGTGGCGAGACTCAGCGCACGGCCCAAACTCAAGGTCTTCCTGGCCTCCCCCGAGCACCAGAACCTCCCCATCAATGGCAATGGGAAGCAGTGAGGGTCACAGGGTCTTTGGGTGGTGACAGGGTACCTTCTTCCTTTTCCCAGGACCAATAAAAGTTGTAGGAGAAGCCATGCTGTGAACTGTGTTTCTTGGGATCTCCCACTGTCAGGGTGGTGGGTGGTGGGGGTAGTGAGGGACAGGGTGGGGGCCTGAGTATTTGGATCTTAAGCCACAAACTGGAGTATCTTTCTGGGACAGTCAGTTCAGGCTGTGTTTACTGAGCTTCAAAAACAGGAAGAGGATTTTGAAAAAGAGAGAGAGATGATCCATGTTCCTGCCCTGGAGGACCCAGAGAGAAGACTTGTTGTTATGTGTCATGGAGTCGGTTCTGACTCATAGTGACCCTGTACAGGGTTTCCGAGGCAGTTCCGACTCAGTGACCCCGTACAGGGTTTCCGAGGCTATAAATCTTTATGGAAACAAAAAGCCTCATCTTTCTCCCACGGAGCAGCTGGTAGTTTCGAACTGCTGACCTTGCAGTTCACAGTCTGAGTCGTAACCATTATGTTACCAGAGCTCCTTGAGAGAAGACTAGCATCAGGAAATGAAAACATGTTCTCCAATGAGTGTGTCAGGAGCTCTGGTAGCGTAGTGGTTACGAATCGGGCTGCGAACCTCAAGGTCAGCAGTTCAAAACTACCAGCTGTTCCACAGGAGAAAGATGAGGCTTTCTGTTCCCGTAAAGACTTACAGCCTTGGAAACCCTATACGGGGTCGCTATGAGTCGGAACCCACTCCACGGCACATCGAGTGTGTGGGGTGGGGCTGGCTGCCTGTCAGGGGACTTGCTCCAGGGTATTTGGGAACTGGGTAGAGAAAGGAGTTCCCCAGCCTGGAACTTAGGGGCGGCTGAGCAGCTAAGTGTGAGGAGAGACACCTTGTCACCATTCAGGTTGCTAAAGATGGAGCGGGACAGGGTCAATGGGGGTGCCTCCTATTGGATGGAAACTTCAGAGCTCCCAGGAGTGGTTGGAGGGGAGGAGCTGGAGAGTACCCTACATTGGGGAACCCTGCCAGTGTCAGACTTCCACCACCTGTCCAAAGAGGGGCGTCCACGTAGGGGGGAACTTAAGAGACATCAGCATCCTCCCAATCTCTTTCTGAGAGCTCTTGTACCAAGTTGAGACTTTGCAGTAAAGTCACTCAAAGGCTGAGGTCAGAGGCTGCTTCAGGAATGCCTGCCCTGCTCCCACAGCCTAGAGGCATTGAGGGTGGGCGTCTGGGTGGGGTGCCTGAAAGCCCTGGACGCAAGGTCAGGGCTCTCTGAACTGCCCAGGAATTGGGTACGTGGTATTGGTGCATTGACTAGGGTTACAGGCTGGAACGGATGTCACCTGTGGGAAAACTTTGGATCCAGGGAGGAGATGTCAGAGAAATGAATATTTCTTCAGTTATCCCCACCCTACCCCCACCACATTCCACCACTAGGAATTTATCTTGCAGGTTCTAAGAGCATATGCATGTGAAAGTTGGACAGTACATAAAGGAAGACCGTAGAAGAATTGATGCATTTGAGTTCTGGTGTTGGAGGAGAATATTGAAAGTACCATGGACTGCCCGTAGAACCAACAGATCTGAATTGGAAAAAGTACAGCCAGAGTGCTCCTTGGAAGCCAGGATGGTCAGATTTCATCTTTCATACTTTGGACATGTAATCAGGAGGGAACAGTCTTGGAGAAGGAGATCATGTTTGGTAAAGTGGAGGGTTGGAGATAAAGAGAAAGACCCCCCAATGAGATGGATTGGTATAGTGACAACAGCGATGGGCTCAGGTGTAGCAGCGATGGTGATGTTGGCGCAGGGTCGGGCAGTGTTTTGTTCTGTTGTGCAGAGGGTCACTATGAGTCGGTGCTGACTCGATGGCACCTAACAACAATGGCAACCTCTGCCAGCCCAGTGTCATCAAGTCAGTTCCAACTTATAGTGACCTTATATGGCAAGCCCTCAAAATTGTATGGTCTGGCCCTGCCAAGGCAAGAGTAGGCGGGACTCAAAATTCACTAAATCTAGAAGCTTTTTTCATAACAACATAAATTTATATTAAATGATGTTATAAATTATCCAAATGGCCCTTGGCAGAAAAAAAGGTTCCCCTGTATAGGGTTTCCAAGGAGTGACTTGTGAGTTTGAACCTCTGACCTTATGATTCAAACCAACCTTGCAGTCCAGTGCTTTATGCTTTAGGTATATTTGTTAACCCTCATCACCCCTGAGGGCAGTACTGTTTATAGAAGAGAAAGGGGAATCCTGGTGTGGCACTGTCAGATTAGCACTGGGCTCCTAACTACAAGGTCAGCAGTTCAAACCCATCAGCCACGCCTCCAAAACTCTATACAGGGTTTCTATGAGTTGGAACTGACTTCATGACACTTAGCATAAACAACAATAGATGAGAAAACGGAGTCACAGAAAGTTTAAGTAACTTATTCATGTATGAACTGAGGAATTAGCAAGGTTGTCCATTGTGTTGTTGTTGATTCTATTCCAACTCACAGCACAACAGAACGAAACATGCCTGGTCTTGCGACACTCTAACAATTGTTACGTTTGAGACCATAGTTGCTGCTTATGTGCCAATCCATCTCATTAAGGGTCTTCCTCTTTTTTGCCAACGCTTCACTTTATCAAGCATGACATCCTTCTCCAAGGACTGGTTCTTCCTGACATGTCCAAAATACGACGATGAAGTTTTGCCATTCTCCCTTCTAAGGAGCATCCTGGGTCTACTTCTTCCAAGACAGGAAGAAGTCTTATTGATTCTTCTGGCAATCCATAGTACTTTCAAGATTCTTCAGCACTATCATTTGAATGCATCAATGCTTCTTTGATCTTCCTTAGACATTGTTAGTAGTCACAATGACCACAGAAAAAAATGCCCATCAACAGGGGACTTGAATGGCGGGACATCTCATAGGGAGATGTGTTCTCTTTTCAAAGAATAGCTTGTGGTCTAAGTGGGTCCTAAACTCAATGACAAGTGTGCTAATAAGAGACACACAGAGGAGAGATATAAAAGAGGAGAGGTCAGGTAAAGCAGAGACTAGTGTGATGTGGAGACAAGCCAAGGAAAGAATCAGAGCTTGGGCTTCTGCTGATAATGTACATTTCCACCTCAGATAGACTAAATCAGAGGCACCATTTTAACAAGATCCCCAAGGGATTCTTACGTTGTTGGTAAGTGCCATGGAGTAGGTTCCAACCCATAGCGCCTCTGTATAGGGTTTCTGAGGATCAGCTGGTGAGTTTGAACCACCAGCCTTGCAGTTCAAACCGACCTTGCAGTTCAGTGTATTAACCCACAGTGCCACTTGTATACCTAAGGATCTTGTTAACATGTAATCTATTTGTCAAACATTCAAAATCAAAGGGGCAACATGTACCTAAGGACCAAGGTGAAAAGGGATGGGAAGGTGGGTAGACTGGAGATGGAAGCCCCAGGGAGAGGCAGGACAATTGTTCCATGGAGGGGGATTGCAATCACCGAGATGAAACAAAGGGTATGGTTTGTTGAATGTAAAACTGATGTTCTTGTCTGCAAACCACTCAATTCACAATACAAAGTTTTGTTTTTGTTTTAAATGTAGTCTTTCTGGGGTGAAAAATGCAAATTCTCAGCAGGAGTTGGTGTTCAAAGTCCTAGAATGAATTCATGGGGCTGGAAGAGACCTGGAAGGAATCTCCCCTGGGTCATTTAGAGGGAGCACAGCCCTGCTGACACCCTGATTTCAGACTTCAATCTCCAGAGCTTTGAGAAACTAGATTTCCACTATTTCAAGTCACCGAGTTTGTGGTCATCTGTTACAGCAATCCCAGGAAACAGATACACTGTGGGCAGAATGGACTGTCGACAGACTAGACCAGGGACCTGAGCAAGAGGTCCCCACTAGTGTGTGATTGAGAAATGACCTTGTGGTTTGGCACTGCAGCCCAGCCCATCCTGTCAGATAAAAGCCTTGGTTATGAATTCAGGGAAAAGGAATCCGACCCCTCCTACCTCCTTGCAGCCTTTGCAGGTGATCAGGGATGAAGATGAGAGGGAGAAGTCTGTGACTTCAATTTCGAACCCCCAAGATCAGGCCCCGAGAGATGGATTTGAAAGAATCTTGTTTGAAGGTGGCGGCAGCTGAAGACACTAGCAAAGAAAATGATTAAGAGCCCAGCTCTCTCCTTGTCACAGATATTAAATCAGGGCTGGAGAGATTGGGACAGATGAAAGGGACCCAAGCCAGAGGTTGTGTGCTCTCTCCATGGTCCTTGGACTGGTTGCTCATGGGCACACCGTTCAGCCTGGGGAGTCTAGCAAGGTGACCTTGGCAACTGGGGAGAGAGAGCAAGAGCTGTTTCCTGAACCAGGTTGGGCCTGCCTGCTTCTTATTACCCAAGAAGTAGATTGTAATCCCAAACTTCATCTGCTACATCCAAAAAACCCATGCCCCTGACTGCTGAGGACTTCAGTCTGCCTGCCATCTTCTTCCTTCTTTGGACATCAGAACCAAGGACGACCTCCTTGGTTTCATTTTTGGAAACTCCATTTTTCCCAGAGTGGGTTCCCGCGGCTCCCTCAGGAGACATGGGATCTCAGCCAATCCAACTGGCAGCTTTTTCCTGAGAATTCAAAACTTGAATGGAAGGACATCTGACAGGAAGAGAACCAAAGCCCACATTTTCTCCTTCCAAGGAACCATTCCTGGTTCTGGCTCGGTCCTGGGCTCCTGGGAAAATGGACACATGATCGCCAGGGGACAGCAGGCTGAATCACTCATCAGTGCCCAGTACATGGCTCTGGGGACCTGCCCAAGCAAGTACCTGCCAGGAAACCACAGGAGTGGGTGACTTAGACTGCCACTGTGCTGGTATCTGCCACACCTCAGCCTCCAGGGAAGGGCCTGTGACCAGGCCCCCAAGGACTGAAAGCCAGGATTTGGCTTCCCACTGGCTCCAAAGCCCAAAGCGACCACCCTGTGCTACGTCCCCCTTCGGGCAGCCCTGAGGAC